AAGTTATAAGAACTACTCTTCCTGGCAATGGAACCCTGAGCTGGGAGCTTGGAGTGGGGTTGGGGCCTCTTGCTCCTCAGGGGGGACCTCTGCAGCAGAGAGATCCCTCCCAATTTTTATCTGCCATATGTGGGTGTGGGACCAGTCCTCACATCTCTGCCCCTCCTACCAGTCTCTATGGGTTTCTTCTTTCATTTCCTAGTTGTAGGACTTCCATTCAGCCAGATTTCAGGCAGTTCTGAATAATGATTGTTGTGTAGTTTAGTTTTAATTCTGATGTGGCTGTGGAAGGAGGCAAGTGTTTACCTAAGCCACCATCTTTTTTTTTTTTAATTGATTTCAGAGAGGCAAGGACAGGGAGAGAAAGATAGAAACATCAATGATGAGAGAGAATAATTGATTGGCTGCCTCCCGCATGCTCCCTACTGGGGATCGAGCCCGCAACCCAGTCATGTGCCCTGACCGGGAATCGAACTGTGACCTCCTGGTTCGTAGCTCAATGCTCAACCACTGAGCCACGCTGGCTGGGCTAAGCCATCATCTTTACTGGAAGTTTCCCATTCTATTTTTTAATAGACTATATTTTACCTAATGTTATTTGTTTTAAACCTGGGATAAGCAGTAATTGTCGAGTATCAAACACGACAGTCTCAGTGAGGCATTCTATCCCCACCCTGCATTTTCTTTCTCCAAACCCAAAGAACCAAATGCCTGGCAGAGAAAGAAGATAGCCCCACTGTAATTTCAGAACCCCAGTTATCTCAGCAGAGCTGCTAGATAAAATTTCTATCCAGCACCAAAGACAGGACAGTAGCACAACTGAATAGTTGTTTTGTAATGAACAAAAATCCCTTGCAAATGGGAGACCAGAGTCTCCAACCTAAATAACCTTGAAAATGACCCCAATTATTCCAGGAATCTGAGAACCATGGGTCCATGTGACAAGGGACAAACCCCTGCCTCATCTTCCTGAATATTTCTAGGAAACTGTCAGTTCCATTATACATAACATCATGGTTAAGAACACAGACTTGAGCTGGACTTGAGTGGTTTGAATCTAAGCTTCACCACTTCAGAGCTGTGTGACCTTGGGCAAGTTACTTAACCCCTCTGTTTCTTCATCTGGAATATGGGCCAATAACACCACCTATCTACAAGGTTGTTAGGCAGATTTAAATAAGTTAACACATGTAAAATATTCAAAATAATGCCTGGCACATAGTGAGTGGTCAGTAAAGTTTAACTACTATTATTTTTATTACAAGACTCTTTGAGGAAAAATAAACTAGTCCTAGAAAAAAACTGAAAAAAGTATTCACAATGAAGCAAGATATGGAAAATACTTTTAAAAAATAATTTAACAAAGAATACAAAATTGTTTTCATACACTCAGCTTTGTAAGTAATATGGAAAAAATAAAGACTAGAAAGAAATATAATAAAATATGTAAAAATTACCTTTGATAACTGGTAAGTTTTCTGGTTGTTTTAATACTTTCTATACTCTCCAAATCTTCTATAATGTGCATGTATTGTGTCTATAATTAGGACAACATAAAAACGCTACAATAATGGTGGGGTTTCGTAAGGGCAAGACAGGGCAGGGCTATTCAGAGAGGCGTGGGGTTCTTCCCCTTCGGTTTACCAGGAGTCTCCGGTGTCCTGTTGTGAAGTTTCATGCCCTTTTCCAGTAACAGCAACTCAATTGCTTTTGGCAAGCCAAACCTTGATTAGAATTCTAAGGCTCGGTACCTGCCTTCTAGGAAGAAGTTTCTGAAAAATTGTTCTTCATATTATGGACAGGCTAATGAATATCTCAGACCCTCTCCACAGAGGAGTTCAGCCCCTGACACAGTTTCACAGGCAGTGTCAGGGGTCCTTGTCCCTCCTCCCTCCCCAGGTAGAGAAACCCATTCCAGAGCTGGACCCAGGATCCTTCTCTTTCCAGCACCCCCTTCCCTGGCACCCTGACTTGGTACAGTCCTGCTCTACGGTGTGGCTCCCATGTGCCCTCCTCTCTGAGGACTTTCCCATCCAGCCATGATGAGCTCTAGTGCAAGGAACACTGTGAGAGACACACTGCTATGGGATTCTGCGCAAGCACCTAGGCTCCTCTGAGACTCGGCTTTTGCTGAAAAAAAAGATCCTATCAATCTAAAGCAGGGAGGTGTTAGGGTTAAATACAATTAAGAATGTAAATATTTTTACTTTATTCTGTTGATTCTGCCTGCCAGAGCTCATCACCTGAAACATACTATTTAACACACGTATTGGCTAGGCAGCCAGGGAAGAACAGGGCAGCCAGTTCTCAAGGAGCTCAGGGACCCCTGGGAGATGAGCAGGTCAGTAATGATCATGTGATATTTGGGTGCTCTGGGAACAAAGAGGAGGGAACAGCAGTAGGGGCAGGAGAATCCTTCCCAGAGGAGATAGAGCTGAGCTGAGCTGGAGGTCAGCGCTTGTGGGATGGTCTGGAACAGGGAGGGGTTGCAGGCAGCATGGACAGCAATGATCAGGGCTCAACATAAAGGCTGGGTGGGACTGTATATGTTTGTTCCCTCATAGATCCACAATAGAGGGCAGACATAAACATTCATCTTGGTAGCAAGAGCCGTGCCTTACAGAGTGCTGGCAAGTGGCACAGCCTGTGTGCGCTCCGTATTGAGTAAATGACTACGTGAGTGGATATGAGGGGGGTCTGAAAGTTACCATAGGTGAGAAGCAGCTTTAAATGTACAGCTGTTTACATTGAATTCTAAAGTACTCTGGGCAAAGGGGAACGTTTAGTAATATTCCCGTGCTTCTGTGGAGCTGGGCTCACTGCTGTCAGTGAAGAATTTCTGCCTCATCGGAGCTGACTGTCCTGGATGAGCCCAGTCCTTAACATCCTGGATGAATGCACATGTGCCTCATTCCCTGGCAACTGTGGTGGAGAGTCTTTGAAACAACTGCATTCAGGCTTCTCCCCAGACCCTTTCCTGCTCATGTGTTCACCACAAGGACCCCTGGCCACACCCCCGGTGGTAGCAGTGTCCCTACTGTCTCTCACAGTGGTGCATCCTGCCTTCCTGGAGATGGACACAGTCTTTTACTACCTAGGAGCACTGACCACCCTGGCCTCTGTGGAAATCTCCTGAAGACAGCCCCCGAGGGTGACTCTCACCTACTCTAACTTTACTTTCTGCAGCCAAAGAACATGGTCACTGCATATGGTGTTGATAATGCCTTTGTGAGCAATCTGTTCCCACTGAGAAACTGAATTAGGAAGATCAAATTGCACAAAGGTGTGTGCGAAAGGGGTTAGACATGTGCCAATTGTAAAATAATGAATTTCCTAGCTCAAAAAGATGTGTTTTCTTGAAGAAGCAGTCTGCCTTTTATTTTCATCATCCAAGAAAGAAATATGTCCAAGTTTACACCACTGTCAGCTTGCCTAAAAACTTTGCTGCAGAAGTAAACATATTGTAATTCTAAAATACAAATTTGAGGTTATAGCTGAATCAGCAATACCATGTGTTTTGCCAAACAAAACTAAGCAAAGTATTAAGTTAAAAAGGAAGAAAGTTTTGACACTGAAAGATTTGATTATTTGGGGGAAAGTTCAATAGGAATTATGTCACACATAAGAGAAAAATATCTAAAGGTTCAAGGACATGCTTATCCTTATTGGACACTTAGCACATGCCAGGCACTTTTAAATGCTCTATACATGCAGCAAATTTAGCCTCAACAATCCCTCTCCTCCATTTTTAGACGAGGAAACCGAGGCACAGAGGGGTTAAGTATGTCACAGGCTAAGAAGGAGAGAGGTTTGGATTTGAAATGGGCTGGCTCTGGAGGATGTGCCTTTGCCCACCATAACATATTCCTTAAAGAATCGTTAATGAAGTGAGCCATGCTCGTTCCAAGAAATTGTAAGCAGATATTTTTAAATTATATTTTAGAAAAATATTTAATAATGAGAAAATGCTGGTAACATAGTGTTACATAAAGGAACAAATGTATATACATAATAGCATAATCAGTGTCTATATATACCCACATATTTGCACATAGGTACATACACATGGACATGCCTGGGTGCACACATACATGTGCACATACATATTTTTGGCATACATGCTTAAGTAACCTATTAAGTCAGCAGTGATCACCTGGGTGAGGAATTTCTGATGTTTTTTTTTGTTTGTTTTTTGTTTTTTAAAAATATATTTCATTGATTTTTTACAGAGAGGAAGGAAGAGGGATAGAGAGTTAGAAACATCTATGAGAGAGAAACATCGATCAGCTGCCTCCTGCACACTCCCTACTGGGGATGTGCCCGTAACCAAGGTACATGCCCTTGACCGGAATCGGACCTGGGACCTTTCAGTCCGCAGGCCGACGCTCTATCCACTGAGCCAAACAGGCTAGGGCTGATGGTTTTTTATTTACTTTATATCTGTTCTCTTTCCCAAAAATTTTCACCCTGGACATATATATTTTTCACATATCAGAAAAATGGTATTTTTAAATTGAGTTTTACAGATATTTGCCCTTGCCCAAGAGAGCCCTTGTTTGTACTAAAAGCAAAAGGGGCGCGAGTGAGATCCCAAACGTCCTCGCCTCCACCTCCAGGAAGGAGGCAGGGCAGGGCCACGCTGTCCTCCCCAGTCCACCCGGCGACCAACTCCCTGGGGCTGGTGCCTACTTAGCGTTTAACCAGTCCCTGGGGTTCACAGGAGTTGCCATGGGGAGCCCCGGCTCGGCATCAGAAGAACGGCGCCGGCGTGGTCTCCACTGCAGTAAGGGGGCGCTGGCGAAGGGGTGGGAGCGTCCTCGGGTGCATCTCGGACCCGGCGCGGACCGCTCTCGGGTGGCGAGGACGCCGGCAGCAGCTGCCCAAAGCGCCGGGTCGGAGATGCACCGCCGCCTCGGGGGCGTCCTGCCCGCCCCACGTCCCCTCAGCACTGCCCTCTGGGGAGCTGTCCCCCCGCGCGGCCGGCCCACCCTCCGGCTCACCTGCAGGGACATGGTAGTGCGCTCCACCGCTGCTGCACCCGGACGCTCGTTTCCCGGGACCCCAGCTCCCTCCGCTCTTTAAAGGCCGTCGGTCCGGAAGGGCGGGGCTGGGAGGTGAGTGGCACTCCCCCCGCCCGGGGCGCCCGCTGTGGTCCTCCTGCCTCCTGGATGCGCTGGGCTCTGGAGGATGGTCAGCTGCAAGTGCTGCGGCAACTGGAAAAGCTAAAGGAAGGGAATTTAAATGAGTTCTTCTCCACTCAGGGCTCGCTGCCCGATTCTTTCTCAAGAGGCTGTTGGCAGGAAATCCGACGAGGCCTCCCTGGGCACGGACCTCACTTAAGATTCTTTTTTTATGTATACCTCCGTCCTCCCCATGATGCCTAGAACCCTGGACGTAGACAGCCTTTGTTCAGACCTTTCACGTCTCCCCAGCCGCCTCTAGACACACTTCATCAGGAGTGAAAAAGGCTGGTAGTTTGGGTCTTTTCTTTGTAAGGCAGAAACACATTCTGAACACGTGCTGCAACCATGCTAACTTTCACAGGCACAAGACTACAGACTGACCGCATTTTTTTCTGGGGGGAAATCAGTGTCACTCCAAGGCTGCAGCCACACAGAATGGGATTGTGATCCACATTGATTAAATTTTCGAAGAGCTGGGACCGCATTTCTCGGTCATGTGAGGAGTTCACTTACAGCTCTTTGTTGAAATAGGAACATTGTGCAGCGAGGTGACAGGAAGAATCCACAAAGTCAGGGTCAAGAAAGTTACTAATTTGAAACGTCTAAGGATACAACGATGTCTAACAATGCAAGGGACAGAGAAGAAAAGCCTCAACACATTTTAGCTTGTTTTTGCACAAAATTACATTTTAAAAATATTTGCTACTTTTTCATGTAAATCCCTTGGTTTGTAATTTTCTCCTTGAAAATACTTTCATAGTGATATCAGTGGAATTTCCAAGTAAAGAACAAAAAGCAAATGTCAGAAAAACTTAGTGGGCACGATTTTTGTGTTTTTATTTTCTAAATTCCTGGGCGATGGGCAATACACACTGGGTTCAAAGGCAAACGGCAGCTTCAGAAAAGTGAAATAAGCAGCTTCACAGGCAAAAAAAAAAAAAAAAAGGCAAAGGGAGTTTATCACTACCAAACCAGCAATGCAAGAAATGCTGAAGGGACTGGTATAAAAAGGGAAGAAGGAACACAGGCACAAAAAAATAAAAATGGCTACAAACAAGTATCAATAATAAGGTTAAACATAAGTGGACTAAATGCTCCAATCAAAAGATATCAAGTGGCAGAGTGGATAAGAAAACATGACCCATATAAACTGAGTGGCCAGATTATTATGACCACCCCATCAGTACTTCGTTGGGCCACCTTTTGCCTTCAATACTGCGGCAATTCTTCTTGGCATTGACTCCACCAAAAAGCTGGGGTAGCAATACTTATATCGGACAAAATAGACCTCAAAGTGAAGGCCATAACAAGAGATAAGGAAGGCCACTTCATAATACTAAAGGGATCTAAACAACAAGAGGATATAACCCTGGTAAACATATATGCACCCAATGCAGGAGCACCCAAATACATAAAAAAGACTCCTGGAAGATATCAAGGGAGAGATCAACAACAACACAATCATAGTAGGGGATGTTAATACCCCACTGACATAACTGGATAAATCCTCTAGACAAAAAATCAGCAAAGAAACAGCAATCCTAAATGAGTCATGACGCTCTATCCACTGAGCCAAATCGGTTGGGGCAAGGTAAAAATGTTTATAAATAAAATAGCCAGACTTTAGGAAGCAGTCCTTGAAAATTCAACATATTTCAATGACAGCAAATGCTACAACCTGTTTAGCTCTTGGTGAAAAAAAGAATGGTATGGTTTGATAAATAGCAGGCACTTATATTTGTACCTCAATTGTACCTTTCCAAGTAATACTGTACTGTTGATGCCTAGGATAGGAAATTCAATTTAGCGGCTGAGGTTAGGCAGGTATTTACGATGTTTCCCTGAAGATCTTTCTTCTATCCTCACCCACTGCCAAGTTGTGGAAGGTACTAAAGTTGGATGAGGCTTTATATAAACCTGACTTGTTCATTGATGGCCAATTGAAGGATATCCTGTGTACATTAAACTGGGATTGAGCTATGGAACAATACTTATTTATTTGTTCATTCATTCATTGCTCATCTACATAATTAAAATTTACAAAATCTCTGTTTTGTTTTTAAAGGATCACTCTTGCCCTGGCTGGTGTGGCTCAGTTGGTTGAAGTGTCATCCCATACATGGGAAGGTCTCGGGTTCGATTCCCGGTCAGGGCACATACCCAGGTTTCAGGTTCGAACAGGGCATGTACAGGAGGCAACCAATGTTTCTCTCTCTTCCTCTTTCTCCCTTCCTTTCTCTATTAGATCAATAAAAGTATGTCCTTGGGTAAGGAAGTAAATAAACAAACAAACAAAAAATAAATAAAGGATCACTCTTGTGGAAAATAGATTACAAGGGAACAAGGTTGGAAGCAAGATCCTTACTGTCATAATAATCCAGGGAAGAACTTAGGGTGCTTCAAACTCAGGTGGTAGCAATGGAGGTAGTGAGAAGTAGTTCAGATTTTGGGTATACTTTGAAGGTAGTCAACAGGAGTCCCTGATAGATTCTACATGGGGTGTGAAAGAAAAAGAGGAGTCAGGATAACTATAACATTTTTGACCTGATTGGTTGGGTTGGTGGCAAAGATCAGAAGTTCAGTTTGGGACCTGCTACTTTTGAGATATCAGACATCCAAGTGGAGATGTCAAGTAGGCAGTTCGATATCCAAGTCCAGTCTGGGTTGGGTCTATGAACCTGGGACTCATGGACATAGAGATGGTATTAGACCTTGAGACTGGATGGCCCAAGAAACTGAATGTATGTAGAGGAGAAAAGGGAAGAGGACTGAAGATTGAGCTTCCAGCATTAAGAGTTCAGGGAGAAGGAGCAAAGAAGACAAAGAAGTGACCATTAAAGAAACAGAAGAGAGAGAGAGAGAGAGAGAGAGAGAGAGAGAGAGAGAGAGAGAGAATGAGAATGTGGTGTCCCAGAAATCAAGTCAAGAGAGAATAGCAAGTGAGAAAATACATTAAATTAGATGAGGACTGAGAGTTAATGATTGGATCTAGGTTATTGTCAAGATCATTGATGACTTGAAGAGAAGTTTTAATACAGTGATGGAGGGCAAAGCCTCATTACAAGTGGTTTTAAGAGAAAATATCAATAGCAATTATAGAATAGTTTTTGGGCGCTGTTTGTTTATCCCTCCACCTATATCACTGTCTTAATTATTAAATCCTCCCAATTGTGTTCTTCTTCAGGAAGAGTTCTTTTTGGCACTTTGCTCTTGTATGTAAACTTTAACATCCATGAGTCAAGTTCCACAAAAGAAAATTCTTGAAGTTTTCTTGGAATTGCATTAAAACTCCACATCAATTGGGTGGGGGTAGGGAGGCAGGTATCTTTTAAAAAATTCATCTTTATTGTTAAAAGTATTACAGATGACCCTTCTTTTATCCCCAATTGACCCCTTCCTCCCCATTCCTGCCCCCCTCCCCAGACCTTCACCACCCTATTGTCTGTCTCCACGGGTTATGCATATATGCATATAAATTCTTTGGTTAAACT